CTGAGGAAGAGCGTGTATGTCATTAGACAGATATCCCAAGTGGTGGATCACCACACTCTTCTTCTAGTTTACTACGCGTTTGTATTTTCTATTCTCTCGTATGGTATCTCAATATGGGGTGGCTATGCCACTAAAAGTGACCTGAACAAGTTATTTAGTACACAAAAAAATGCAGTGAGGATACTTTCAAATTTGCCAGCTTTTGCATCCTGTAGAGGATACTTCATAAAAAATAAACTCCTAACGGTCCATGCACTATATGTATTTAGATGCATCATCTTTACTCTGGCAAATCCAAAACACACAAGGCTGGTCAATTCCATACATGAGAACCCTACGCGAAATAATAAAAATATGCATATAGAACGCTCAAAATCAAACGTGGTAAAAGTTAATCCCTCCCACATGGGAGCGATATTCTTTAATAAATTGCCAGATGCACTCAAGGATGCCGTATCATTAAAAAATTTCCAATGTAGATTAAAAAACTATTTAATTGAAAGGGAACTGTACAGTTGGGAGGATTTATGAGTTGCTCCTCATGTCACAAATGTCAAATGTTGCTCTGAAGTGCCTGTTTTTGCCCCCTCTCCTATCTGACTTATGCAATTGTGACCGCCATCTTTGCACAAATAAATACAAATACAAATACAAATACCCTCACTGACGCAGCGACCCTAGGACTTGGGATGCCACTCAGGCACATTGGTCCAAGGAAGAACAGCATACCTTGTAAATGGAGGATGAGACAGGATACTACTAAACAAATCCAGCGATTCTCTAAAATAATCTCTAGCCAATTTGCAATAAAGATTGCTATTTTGCATGAGTGGTGTCTGCAACACATCTTAAACCAAGCCTGGAGCTCCAACATTCAACCTGTCAACTCCTAGTAAATTGATATCCCTATAAATCTGAATCTAGTCTGTTATGGTATTCCCGCGATGTGCACTCTGAGACAACAACTGAGAATTTTTTTTGTAAAACTACATATTAATATAAAAAATTCAAGTGGAGACCTTACAATGTTTATCAAATTTACAACTCAGATATATACATTGAATCAAGTTTTAAATTGATCTGTGTTTGGTTCTTGTGGGAAATCTCACCAACCATTTATTAGATTAGACCATATTTATTTCCGGATAA